TAAGATATTTACTACTTTACTGTTATAATTTACTTTTAGAAAAACAGAGAACTAATACAAGTTGATTACTATTTAATATACATTAATGTGTTATATATGATTACTATATAAGTAAAAAATAGTACATATTACTCAAACTGATCTGATATCAATAAGTTTTACTCATTTGAACTGATCTGATATTAATAAGTTTTACTTATTTGAACAGATCTGATATCAATAAGTTTTACTCTTCATTTGTCCATTCACTCTGTATCCATGCTTCCCAATCAACTATTAATACTTTGTCTGCAACCAATTCTTCTTGAATTTGTACTTGATGATAGGTTTCTGATAAGTCTTCTGGTATTACTTCTTCATCTATCCACATTGCTTCATGGTTTTTATTACTAACTAAGAATTCACTATGCCGATAATTATGAATAGATATATTATTAGCCTGAAAATCTTGAGTATCCGTATCAGGTTCTACAAGTAAATTTGATTGCTTATGTGAACATCCTCGAGTATGGTATTTCAAAGCTCCTTTTAAAGCGAAATACCATTTACAATAAGAGCAGAGATATTCATTGATTGACTTATTTACAGTTGGGCAATACCAATTGAAAGGAAGATAATGTAGATTCGTGTTTGGAGGAATTAACTTTCTTTCCATTAATACAGAGAGAAGAAAGCCACTAAAGTGAGTTGTATTATCGGATATACTCATGCTTGCTGCGCAAATACTATGAGGTTTCTGTTGGGTAAGGAGTGGTAGTGAGAAAAATCATTTTGGAAGAATCTGCTGGATTCCACTTCGGAAAGGTTTACAACAACTTGGATCATTACACTTTGTGACTTGAGTCATATAACGGCAAGTCATTATATGATTTTCCATTCAAGTTGCTGATTTTTCCCTTGGGTAGTAAGGTTCTTCGGAAGGATTTACATACTTAGCAAGAACCAGATAGCTATCGATAATTGTATCTTCCCATACTGATGTCAAAACATCTCTGGCTGCTTTAAAATTACGTTTTCTAATTTCTCATCAACTGTTCTTAGCTGTGAATCCAAATGCAATTCAAAAGTATCATGTGGGAGGATCATACTAGCTAAGTCATGGCTTAAGGGCGCCATTCGTCTTTCTACTGGATTGGATGCACTCTGATGTGGCGCGAAACATGCCATAATGATTGTATCAAGGTCATATTTGTCAAAATGTTCAATCATTATTTGAATTGTCTTTTTGTATCGAGGGTTCTCATCGGGACCACCATCACTTAGCATTACCATTACAGGTTTAGGCTGGCCATTCATTTTAGTATAATCATGCAATTTCTCCTCAACCATCAGTTCATTAAAGTCTTTATCATGTGAGTAAGCAGTACTGCTATCATGTTTACTACTATAGACCCTTATAAATGTTGGACCTGAATAAGTTACTGCTTTGGAATTTCCATATTTACCTCCCTCCACATTTAATATTGCATAAACTGATGGAATCAGTTTATGCCTTTTAGCAACAACCCAGTTGTAATCTGGAAGCTTCACTCGGTATTTTAACCTTATTAGGATTGGTGCTATAAGTAAATTATTCATTATTAGTAAATTTTGCTTTTTTTTAAAAATTAGTTTATATAAAATTAATTTGTTGGTCTTATTACAACCTTGTTTATTTGCCGCAGCTAAACCAAGAGGTATTTGTGCTTTATCATCTTGGGATACAACTAAAATATTTCTGGGACCTAATACTGACACCATTTCTTTAATATTTCTTATCAAAGCAGCACAGAATTGGGTATCTTCATGCACCCTTCTTGCTGTATTCTGTGCCCTTAGAAGCTTCACTGATACAGTTTTAACATGTCGTTTTCCCTCTACGGTATTATGCCATTTTGGAATAAGTCTAAAGTATGCGGCAGAGCATGATAGTTTATAATTCATTTGTTCCAGTGCTTCTTGGAGTTGATCCAAGGTCTTGACAGATCGTAATGTCTCTGAACGTCGTCTCTCATCTGCCTGCCCATCCGGAGAGACAATGCGAAGAATGGCTTCTAATAGGCCTAGTTGTGTTTCTTCTAAATGCGGACGACTGATTGTTGGCCTAGTGAGCTGCATGTTAAGACCCGCTTCTTTACATTGTCTTTCTACTTGTTGGAGTTTTTGTTTTTGCTAACTTCTATATCTTTTATGATATTTTTGTTGATATTCTAATTTATTTAATATTTTTAATGATGATTCTAATTCAGCTTGAATTCTTTCTTTGTCCTCACTATTAGCATCGGTATTCATTCCTCTATTTTTCAAAGCATTAAGCTGCCGTAGCTCTTTATTTAATTAAACGATTGTATCTTTGAGCTTAGCCTGAGCTGGTGCCTCTCGCATTTTAACCATTTTTTTCGCAGCCGTGAAATTAATTACTAATTTAGATTTGAAGATAATGATTTTTAAAAATTTTTAGAAAAAAGTTTGGGACCAAAAGAAATTATTGATCTTTTTTTATATTATTTAGAGCTCAAATTTTTACGCTAAATAAACCGACGATTAATGACTTTTACAGAGAAACAATATACAAGCTCTATTTTCTAGTACTTGCGTTAAACTCAGTTTAGGATGTTCTTAAACGAATTAGACAAAACGAAGAGTCAGTACACAGTATACAACTTTTATGAAGAAACAATAATACACGCATTAAAACCCATTTAGGATGCAATATTAATATTTCAAATGAACTAGACAAAAAAAAAAGAGTTGGTGCGTGTTATATAACCTTTATGAAGAAACAATATACACGCTCTATCTTCTAGTACCCGCATTAAAACCATTTTAGGATGTAATATTTATATCTTAAACGAACTAGACAAAAAAAAAAAAGTCGGCGTGCATTATATATGAAGAAACAATATACATGCTCTATCTTCTAGTACCTGCGTTAAACCCAGTTTAGGATGTTCTTAAACGAACTAGACAAAACGAAGAGTTGGCACACAGTATACAACTTTTATGAAGAAACAATAATACACGCGTTAAAACTAGTTTAGAATGTAATATTAATATCTCAAATGAACTAGACAAAAAAAAAGAGTCAGCGCACATTATATAAGAAACAATATACGTGTGCTAAAAACTAGTTTAAGAATGTATATCAATATCTCGATTGGACCAAACAAAACAACCATACATTATATAAGGAACGTGTCAGATATTAGCTGAGATCAGTTTACTATAGAGCTCATTCCCTCCCCTCCTCCTGAGAAATTTAGTCATTCTGGTTGGTTATATGTATACTGAAATTTTTTCTACCTCATTCCTACCCAGGGTTGGCACATTTATCCATTAGGACGAATAGAGAATCCATTAACATTGCTCCATTGCTCTATTGAGAATAGTTTCTGAATAGAACCAATAGAAGCCATTAGCTATCAGTATATGAGATATAGATTAGAGCCCTATTCTTCATCGGTTTCATTAAATTTTTCTATAGAAGCCATTGGCTCTATTCATTCCATTAGCTCTATTGGGTTCTATTCGCTCCATTGGTAATTTTCTCAATAGAGTATATCCATTGCCAACTTTGTCTTACCCTACTATTAGTGATTCTGGCCGAGCTTAATTTTTTGGCTATAACCAAGCCGATAAATTTTATCAGCTTAGTCAGCTAGTTCAAACCTACCGTACTATTTAATTTTCTTTAATCCTGAATTTTTTGGAATTTACAAAAATCTTTACTCGTATTTTAGGTTCATTCATTTTCCATATCGGAAATTTTTGTAATGGCAAATTTTTGACCATACTAAATCGATTTTAAAAAAATCGACCGGCTAAGCCGATAATTTTCTATAGCCGATTTTTTTCACTATTAGCCAAAATCACTATCTACGATATCAGACACTTCTCTAACTTATCCATATTTTCTCATTCAAATTATTAATAATTTATCATTCATTGAGGGAAAAAGCCAAAAATCTATAAAACCCATTTAGACTCAATGGTATTTATTGGAGCAAATTACAAATAAGCAAATCTTATTTATCCCTAGATAAATATTAATATAGTTAGTCATAGACATAACAGAAAGAATAAGAGATATACTGTAGCACTGACTAAAACGAAAAGACTAAAGATAAGAAAAATTCGCATTTTATAATAACATGCGCATAAATGCGCATGTGTGTATAATATCACATGATATAATTTTTTTGATTTTATATTTTCTTTCAGAAAATATTGGATATCTGCCAAAATTTTTTCTCATCTTTATATTCATTCATTTTCTTTCAGAATTCTTCAAGACTTCTGCATTCCTATTTCTTAATTTTGCCTGAAATTATGCACTTTGGCCTAAATTAAATATTCTTTAATTTTTCTATATAAATTTAGATGAATAAAATGCGCATGATTCGGAATCATGCGCATGTATGAAACCTATCCTAGAAAAGACCTGGTCTTTCATATGTGGTAGAGTGAAAAATGGAGTAGAAAATTCTGATCATTTGACATGACAGCCAATTAATATTGATCTTTATAAAATTTTCAAAATTCAGAGACGATTTCTCAATAATGACTTGAAAAAAATTAATAAAAAAAATATGTTTTAAATACTGTGCTCAATTAAACAAAACTGTTTATTATTTATTCATAAAAATAAGTGTAACAAAGTAATTTATATCAAATATTGAAATAAAAAAAAACTAGCTATTGGCAAATTTACACATAAGCTTGTTATCCTCTTTATAGAAATCATTAAATTCAAGCGTTCTACTGCTCAATGTAATCCTTTTTTGTCTTATACCAAAAAATAATAAATCTTTTTTTCTAAAGACGGATGTATTTATTAAAAATAAATCTTGGGTTAGGATTCCAAGTGACCAAGATATTATTAATATTTGTCGAGAATACATGAAGAATTATGGTAAATAAAATCCAAATAAAAAAATTTTATATGGAACGAGAATGTATCTTGCCAAAGAATAGGAATCGAAATTTAGTCTAATTTTTTAAAAACGAATTTTTCGTCTTCAACAAGAAACTAAGAATAATTAGAATGAATAAAAGCTTCGTTTGAACAAAAATTAATCTTACCAGAGAATAGGAATTGAAATTTTCTAAAAAGACATGTAAAATATTATTAAAAAATTCTAACAACAGGTTTTGGTGAAGTATAAAATAGTTTATAATAAAAAAATTTTAAGGTGAAGGAAGTGAGTCATTGTGCAAAGGAGGAGAATCATCATGCAAAGGAGGAGAATCTTCGTGTGAAGGAGGTGAAAGAGGCGAATTATTAGTTAAGTCAATTATAATTATATCGTGCGGTGGAGAATCTTCATGCGAAGGAGGTGAAGGTGGTAAATCATCATGTGAAGGAGGTGGGTCGATTATAATAGCATTGCGTGAAGGATTTTTATTAATTTGAGTTTTTTCATTTTCAGAAATACGAGTTAGTTAAGCTTCCAAATGGTATTTGATGATATATAATCTTTACTTCTGGTCTACGTTTAGTGAAGAGTTGCCTAATAGGTTGTCTTTTTTGTTTAAACAGATAACTATGTCTAGGTGGCATTTTTTTTTTTAAAAGGATACTAATAGATTGACTTAAAAAAAAGTGTGTGGATATATGTTTATATAGAAATATTGCTGGGCAATCTAGTCTACAGCAAAATGTTTTTTGCTTGAGATTCTTTTGTTGAAAATGGCTTATCAGGATAACAAAGAATCATTGAGAATATGCAGCCAGTGTTTGAAATTCGGATTTAAATCTTTTCTTATTCCTTAAACTGTCAATTTAACTACATATTTACTATGATTTAGACTACAATCCAATATAATTTGATGGCTTGATCACAGATCAATCATGAAATTTCCGGGCAAACTTGCTATTATTATTTTACAGAAGACAGTTTTAATAAACTTTTTATAGTAGACTTGTTTTATTTTTATTAGTTATGACAAACCGAAATATTAATACATCCTCTTCATTATTATTTGTTTCCAAAAAAATTTTAATAATTAGTAAAAATTTACACTGTGTACAAATTTATAATAGCATCTCTAGAATGCTAATTTCAAAAACACTACGTATAAGCGACTAAATGCAGATTCAATTATTGAGATATCGAAATTAGTTAGCAGCTTGACTATATATATGTATGTACCCAAAAATCGATAAAGGGAAAGTTCTAAATTTAGAATATTTTAATTAATTCGTCACTCAATTAATACACATGGGATCTCGCCTCATTGCTCACATGATCTACAGCTAGTATTCATTTATTCTTTGATATCTGACTTGTTCAGTCAAGCCACCAATCCCTTTGCACGATATTCGGACTGCTCGTCCAGTCTAATTGAAAACACTGTTATCTTTTCTCCTCAATTCTTTTTATCGACCTCAGCAGTGGGTGGGTGAACATTTACAACAAAGCTAGACTTGTGTCGAGCTAGCAACAGAGACTCTCTTAAATAGCCATTTACTATGACTTAATACTTACATCACTTACTCTATCAAAAACTAATTCTCTTGAATCTGGGTGACAAATGGATACCTCGTGACTTCGTTCACAACATCACAATGAGTGCTTAAATTCAATAAAAAGCGCGTAAATTTTCTGAATTTCAGGACTGTTATCGCGCATAAAGCCACTAAATATTTAAGTTTAATTTTGCTATAGATTAAAGGCAGACCCCTAATGCTGAGCGTATTAATGCTGCCACAATATCTAACATTTCTGCATAATATCTTAAATTTTACTTCAACTTGAAGTTAGGGTAAGTGATTTATTGTGATTAAACAAATTGCATAATTCTACATTATTTATATTATTTCAATGTCAGATAGAGGTATTCATTTTAAGTTATGCTCTTAGCTTGATTCGACCTGTATAATTTACATAATAGAGTTGTAAAAAAAACTAATATTAAACCCTAAAATAAACTTTAGAAAAAAAATTTATTATTTTTTGATATAGAACCAAAAAGGATTACATTGAGCAGTAAAGCACCATTAGCTAACTTTTTTTTTATTTCAATATCTGACATGTATAAATTACTTTGATACGTTTTTAAAATTTTATTTAAAAAAAGGTTAATAACAAATAAATCATAAGTATATCAACTTTTGGTAATTGGACGCAGTTAGGGAATTGACTCAACAAAAAAAAATTGTTGATTGATGATTGATAGAAAAAATTTTTTTGTATCGAACAAAATTCAATTATATATGTTTAATCGATTATGATCGATCAAGCATGTAATTTATTTGCTCAAACATACATGATCGACTAATCATTGGGTTAACCATTGATCTATTATATAGTATTTTATAATAATATCTTGTAAAATAAAAGAATTTTTAGAGATTTTTTTAATCGATCAAATTTTTAACCATTTAATCAGTTAATATAATCGATCATTAATTGACTCATCTTTGATCGAGCTTATAACATCATGCTCGATCATCAAGCCTAATCGATCAATGATCGAGGGTTATATGATCGAGACAATACACTAGACGCAGTATATAAAAAAAAATAATTTTTTTTTAAGATAAAAGTTGCAATTTTTTTTTTTTTTGCTTAAGATGTTAATATTTTCCCTTTTGATCCAAGATCATTATCAAAAAGGTCCAAGTTATCACGGTGTTCTTGCAGAGTACATTTGCTAATGCATTTCCTCTATTTCATCAAAAAAATTTAAAGTCAGCGTGAAGCTTTTGCAAAATATATCCACTAATGCTTTTCATCCCGATTCAAAGAAGTCAGTGTAGCTAGTTGGTGTCTACTAAATTATATCCACTTATCAAATGAAATCCACTCAACAACCTTTCATATTCCGTAGCT